ACTCGTGTTACTACGACTCACATAATTGGTAGTCGAGTTAAACCCTTCGAGCGAACTCGAAAGGCCAGCGGAAATACGTCATACTCACTTGGTCGCGTGTGTCGTTAATTAAGCATGATGTGATTATTTACAATGTATCTGGGTTTGCGACTATAATGATTCGACCAATCAACTTAACTGTAACAAGTTGTAAACAAATCAACGCGAATTAGTTTACACGTGCTACAGTTAAAAGTTGTCTTATAGCAATATAGTACGCAGAAACAAAATGTAAACCTCCAATGTTTTATTTTAAAAAATAAGCGAAGAACAAAAAGAAATATTAGTAACATATGTAGAAAATAATAAGAAAATGAACAGTGGAAAATTCAACAACAAATTTACAAGAAAAAGGCAATTCGCTTTGTGGAAAGAATTAGTTGAAAAATTAATTGCGTGTGTTGGAGCTAAAAAATCAGTTATGTAATGGAAAATGTATTTTAATCCTTTCTTCATATAGTTTTCTTCCTTGATCTACGTATTAAATTGTTTTGTCTATTAAGATTATTTATTAATCAGAACTTAACACTTCTGATTAATAAATAATCTTAATATAGTGTCTATGCTTTTAATAATTTATACATATAATTTACTATCATTTTAATACTCTTTTTCGATGAATTAGATACTTCTTCTTATTTTTGGAAAAATTTGCTGTATAATTTTATCAATTATGAATTAAAATTTTTTTATTAGTATTGACTTGCCGCGAAAATAAATGTCATCTACTCGAGCACGTGAATTAGAACTTTAGACTACCGATTTGACGTCAGAGTGAGAGATGGTACCATGTGACACCTTCAACACGTTGGGAGTTGTAACTAGTCACGTGCCGGATATCCGAGGGAAAAAAAGTTCCGTATCCGTATCCGTTACTTTTTAGCGGATCTTTAACAGACTTTTATCTTAATGAATTTCATTACTTATATGAAATTTTAAAGATAGGTAGCAATAGCACATTCGTCGTTTACTATCGTAAATTATTTCCATATTACACTAATAAACTTTTTTGTCGACATTGTTTTTATTTTAATTTAACTCAACACTCTCCAAAAACACAAACGTAATCTACGCCAGTGTTTTTCAACCTGTGGGTTGTGACCCCCAGGGGGGTCGCGGGTAGAAGAAAAAGACAAGTGTTTGTAGGTCCTACACTACATTAAAAAAACTACAATTTCAGCGAGAATTACGGCCCACCCCAGAAAATGATAGCGGAAAAAGTGTTGAGCTGATTTGCAAAAAAGAAATAAAAANTTAGCACACTTTCACACTATAAACAAAAACACGCGCAGTGCAAGTCAAAACACGTCGCGTTATTAACGCAAAGCGTCAACTATCGGTCCAAGGTCACACGGACCGGCGCCGACTGAGTACGAAAGTAGAGATCCGTATCCGTATCCGCGAATCTACACACTAATGATCCGTATCCGCATCCGCGGATATACATTTTTAACGATCCGGCACATCACTAGTTGTAACACGAAAAACTCGAGACTAAGGGACATGGAGAGAGTGCGTTGTTGGATGTCTTTCTTACGTCATATTGATGTTCTTTGTGTTTAACTTTCAAGTTTCTTGTAATGACACCGATGTAATCCTTGTCTATCCCCAACTGCATGTTTTCATACAGTATCCTGTTTACACATGCCATTTCTTCTGTTTCTAATCTATCCTTATCGTTTCTTAAAACTCGATACATGGTTGGGTCTCTTTTTACAATCATGTTGGACCATTTTCATGATGTTAGTTATATCTCTGTTAAAAGTGAATTTCATGATTCTACTAGGTTTTTGCTTTTTAGAAACAATACGGATATTTAGTGTAGTACAGTACAAAAGATTATGTACATATGTATTTTAAATGAATTATATAACATCCATATGCTTTATAGTTTTTCCAAAATATTTACTAATCATACATAGTATTTTAGATTAAGTTAGTTCAATTAAGTTTCATTTTCATATTCTTTAATTACAAAAAGTAGCAATGCCGATGGTTAATTAGCACGCTCCACTATAGTATTTTTTTCTTTTTAACTCTTTTTGCCCTGTAGGCATTAAGAGGGTCTCTTTTTAGCAGGCCCATTATGGGTTCGGCCAGGCCCATTATGGGTTCGGCCAGGCCCACAATGGGGCGGCCGGTTGGTGGACGGGAATCGACATATCCGAACCGACCACCCCGAAAAATCCTGGGGATTTCGACCCGGGTCACACAGACGGGACATTCCAATTTTCAACGCGAGTGTTGAGCGTTGAAGTCAACAATTTGACGTCATTAACGACGTTCCAACTCGAATACGAAGTGCTTAGTTCCCATAATTCCATTCTCAGCAAGATGGATTCCATTCAAACGTCTTACCAATTACCCACAATTCATTGGAAAGTAGCAGTCAACATATCTGTTGAGTGCTGAGTATGTTGAGTCAATGCTGACAACAGCTCTACCTCAACGTTGAAAAAAGGAACGAATTTTAACAAATGTTGAGATCAGCGCTGAGTCAGTGTTGAAAATTGGAATGTCCCGAGAGTGGTAGGCTGCCACCTTAACCGCTTAGGCCAAGGGTCGCCAAACTTTTTTGATCGTCGACCCCCTACAAGTTTTCGAAACTTCACATCGACCCCCACCAAAAAGTTCGTGTTACAAACAAAACAAAGTACTTACTATTTTAATACATTTCTGTTAATTTTGCATTTTTTTTTTCATTTATTGTATATTTGTTAATAATAATTTTCGTAACTGACAACCAGTGAGACGGATAAGCTTGATGCTTAGCTTAAGCTTGATAATCGACCCCCAGGGGTCGATATCAACACATTGGCGACCCCTGGCTTAGGCCATCCGGCCTCCTACTATAGTAGTGAAGTGTTTATGTTAGGACTTTTATCCGTCTGTCAGATGTCCACGCGCATGCTCAATGATTTCACTTTCATTACCTAACGGCGTGTTCGGAAATTGTAACTGGTGTTACCGGTAACTACTGGTAAATACCTAAGCGTTTAGAAAATGTGACCTAAATATTTAACCAACTGTGTTTAAAAATCACTGTTATGACATCACCGGTTGTCCTGAGGTACTTACCGAAGTAACCACGGTGACAAAGCGGTTACAGCGGTTCTATTGAATTACATGATGACGGACACATTGCATCGTGTGACGAATGTGGTCGTGATTTTAAAAATTTAGAGAAAATAAAACATTTTGTTTCTGCGACACAAAGCGACCAAGATCCAAAATCCGCGTAGTCCCAAATTTCAGATGAGACAAGACAGCATGGAAAATGGCCAGCAAATGCTACGAAATTCTTGATTTCACAGTATAAACTAAACAAAAATTTTTCTCCGATACCTGTTTAAAAAAATTCTACAAGTTCATTTTCATCTTTTGATGAACTTGTCGAATCATCATATGATTCTGAATTGATATTCGAGAACAATGACAGAATTAATATAATCTCTTCTTGACTTTCCGCTGTGTTGAACACCACAAAATAACCAGCATGTTTAAAAATGCGCTAATCGCCCGGAATAACCGATGACGTCAGTCACCACTACCACAGTGTTATCGCTTAGAATTTCCAAATGCAGCCTAAATGTTATGTACAGTTCAATCCATTTATTGCTCATGTCCATGCGCATGCACAACAACTACTTATTTCCAAAAATTTATAAAAGTTATTTTAAACAAAATATTTGATTCGCTTTTGTGGAGTGTGCTATCATATTGGCTTGATCAAGCTAGTTTTCTATATAGTGCGCACAGGCATATAAACATTGAAAAACGAGAAATGATCTAGAAAATACTTTTTGATAGTTTCGGAATGGAAAAATTTTAATCTACTTTGTTTAAAACACATGATAAATGAACGAATTCCCTGACTTTACACGAAATGTGTTTTCCTAACTAAACGAAAATTTCTTGATATTTCCCGTTAAGCCGAACCCTGAGTGTGGTAATATTTATATAAATTTTATTTCAGATTTTTTAATGAAATGAAAGTATTAAAAAACATACTTTTAGATAGGGAGAAAACAAGAACAATCACCAAATAAGCACTACATCATTTTGATAATTTGTCAATTAAAAAAATGTCTTATCACAAGCACAATCAACAATCTTTAAACTTCTGTATGGGGAACCGTAATATTAATGTGTAATATTCTCTATAAGCCGAATTCGACGAATTGGGAGGTTTCTCTGGTTATCAAAAGAAAAAAACAAAAAGAAAATCCAGTTACGACTGATCAAATATCCTTATTTTTCTTTTCAGAATAAGAACATGACCTTCATTGATTTTACATATATGTGTAATAAACGATTTTTTATTCCTACCTAAATCTTTTCATTACAACTTACAAACCACGGCACAAAACTTCAAATATTTAAAACATTTGAAGGTGGTCTTTAAAATTCAAATATATAAATTTCGGTTTAGGAACGAATTTCGTAACGTGATGCTATTAGAGATAACAAATCATTCTTGATTCATTATCTCTAATAGCATCTTGGGCAGGGCCGGAACTAGTTTTTTCGGGGCCAGGGTTTATTGAAGTACAATGGTGTCCCATTTTTAGTTAGATTAAGAATCTTTAAATTGATGTTTAAAATTCATTTTTAATAACATCACAATCAGAGTTGAAATATATTTATGAAATGGTGTTGAATGACAATAAATGCTCATTGTTAATGAAAAAGTATTAAAAATTTATGATGATAATTCAATTTTTGCTCATTTAATTTCTGAGGATAGGTCAGACAAAACATCACTCAGACTGACTGTAGCACCTTACCTTGTGGATTCAGTTTCAAATTCAATCTAGATCCTCTGAATTATAAATGTAATACAAATTATGCATAAAATCTATTACTCATCTCACTGCAGGTCACACTGATCCATAATGGGAGATGTGGTAAATCATATAGTCTTTATCTGCTGGTAAAAAAATCAATCTTTACAAAATACAGATGACTTTATTTTATCTGGAAATTGAGTGACAAGTATACAAATACTTAATATCTAAGTACTAAATTTTCATTGTAAAACAATACTTATAAAAATATAATCCACAGTAGATTTGTTTTTAAAATTTCTACATCTTTAATTTTTATATTTTACATTTTTTAAATATCAATAATCAATGTAACAAATCAAAATATTTTCATTAGATATTTCTACAGATGAATATGTTAAAACAAATTTAATGCTACATATGTCCTTTCTCTCGAACTAGTCTCCCTCCATATGTCCTGGATACAACATTCCATGAATCCATATATCTATCCATGCACATTGAAATGCATTTCTAAAATGATAAATTTCAAAAATTTAGAAATTGAAATTTATTTATGTATTTATATTTATTTATTCAGGCTTATTCATTCATCTCTAAAAATATCTGTTTTCTGTATGTGTTTAGGGTGTTATTTAGACATCTGAAATGCATCATACCTAAGTGCATCTTATCCACTTCCACTTAGTTTTCAGTATACAGTAGTTTTTGAAAGCTTTGCCAATAAATTTGGTAATTTTGCCAATTTTATTGGCAAAATTAACATTTACTGGTGGGATTCAACCACACTGCACTAGTTTGGCAGAACTGCTTCCTAAAATGATTTTAGTTTGGCATTATCACAAAAGTCTGCATTTGTGTGAGACTGCCAATTTTTTAATAGCTCACGACAGACAAAACCAATTTCCAGTGCATATAATACAAAAAATAAACACTGCACAAATGTTTTCCAACTTCTGAGTTATTTCCAGATGCAACAGAACATTTACCCAATGGAATGTTATCAGGACAAAAGTCTATTTGTAAAAACTTTTAAAACAATGCAATTCAAAGAACCTTTCAAACTATAAATTCAATGCTACGTAGGTGTTGTCATGCACATAACAATCATTAAATTAACAATTATAATGTGTCAAACAGGACCTGCCAGACCATCAACAACACCATTTCCTCCTTAAAATTTATACAAGATGACTCAAAGTTAGCTTTAAAAATTTCTATGGCTTCCAACCATCTGAGATGCTGTGTGTGAAATGTTGCGAAGAGGAGTTTGACCCTTCATTAAATACACAGCTATTTCTGGGTCTGCTGTATACATAGAACTGTGGAAGTTCTGGTATGTTGCACATCTGAGATATGCTCTTGTATTCTCCTTCTCATAGAACATTTAGTGGACACAATGTACAGAAGCTCCCTATTGCATCTGATGTCACAATACCTCAATATTTGTGGGCTTTACACTGACCAAACTCCTCCTCACATCATCATACACAGAGCATCTCAGATGGTTGGAAGCCATAAAAATTTTTAAAGCTAATTTTGAGTCATCTTGTATAAATTTTAAGGAGGAAATGGTGTTATCGATGGTCTGGTAAGCCCTATTCGACACTTTATAGTTGTTAATTGAATAATCATTATGCACATGACAACACCTATATAGCATTGAAATTATATTTATAGTTTTGAAAGATAATGATCTTTCAAAACTATACATTGTTTTAATTTAATTACATTGAATTTACATTCATTGTAATTTAATTGAATTACATTGTTTTAAAAAATTTTACAAATAGACATTTGTTGTTCCAATAATATTCCATCAGGTAACTGTTCTATTGTACCTGGAAAGAACTCAAAAGTCGGAAAATGCTTGTGTAATGTTCATTTTTTGTATTATATGCATCAGAAATTGGTTCTGTGTCTGTTGTTACATCCTTTTGTAGAATGATGTATATTTTAATAGCTCATCATGGAATGGAGCAGAACAAAAAAGACAGACTATGCAATAGAGCAATGGGACTTTTATACAGACCATGTCATTGATTGCTTATTCAGCTGTATTAATGCAACTTTATTAGGAACACATTCAATAAGTGTGAGTGAGAAACTCACTTGCTATCACAATTGATCTATTGTCACTTATCACAATCAAGCATTTGATGTTTTCTACTTAACTTATGGGTACAAGTGACTCTAAACACAAATGATATTCCATGCTAAAGGAATTTTATTCATATTTTTAAAATAACTTTTTAGAAAATCAAAAATGCAGACTGATTTAGTCTGCATTTAGTCATAAAAGCAATTTCTTAATTTTGTTAGGGATCCTCCCAAGAAGGAAAAATTCTTTTACTTTGAATATATGTTGATTTAATGGACAAAAATTAACATGACATAATTGATAAAGATACCATATTTACTTGAGTATAAGATGATCTCACATATAGGACAAGGTGTGACTTTAAACATCAAAATAAAGAAAATTAGGTTTATACAGTTCTAATTTTATTTCATTTAATCACAAATAAAATATCAAATGCGCACATTGTCCCCAAAAATTACTGGTATTTTAAACTTTTAGGAAAAATCTTGTAAAATCGACAACATAATTTGTTCATGTAAAGCTGGACAATCTGGAACCCTTTTTTGCCAATTCTTAACAGTCAAATCCACTCTCCATCTTTTACACTCATGAATTTTTCCGAATTCTGATTTCAAAATAATCATTTGTTTTCATGTGTGAATGGATTAAAACTTATATCGGGCTCCTGTGTGATTTTGGAATTTCAATTCAAAAGCTTTGTCTTTCCTATTGCTATTCATCTTTACTCCTGATAATACACAAGGTTGATTCAAACGACCCAGATAAAATACTTTTGTTTTTAAACACAAGAGGGTGAGAAACCGGTAAAAAAAATGTGAATACATGGTTCACAAAAATTATTGAATCCTTCGTTCAGATGTATAGGACGACCTAGGTTTTTGAAACAGTGAAAAAGGAATAAAAACTTTATCTTATATGCAAGTAAATACAGTAAATTATTTACATATACACAATATATTGCTCTTTCTTTCCTGTGAACACTAAAAGGGCCTTTTACAAGCCCATCATGGGTTATTTTGTATATTTTTTCAATGTACAGTACATAGAGTATTGGTGCAAAAAGATATTGTAAGACCTTCCATATAAACTTATAAATTTTTTTTTTTTAATATTTAAAATAAATCACTAGTGCAGCAAACTAGTTGCTAAATTATTTGAAATCACGCCACCGCTAACATTAGTTTATAAACCAACAGATAACATGCTATAAGCCTGTTTCCAAACAATAAAAACATTACAATATTATGATAGTTCCTTACACTAGTAATTGGATAGTATAGATGGTACAAAAATTTTAAAAAGTGGAAAAGACACAATATGGAATGATGCACTCATCTCCGACTGCTTGTTGGAATTTTTAGATTTTTTAAAAAAATGAAAATTTGAAGACTAATGAGTAGCCTGAAAGGGTCAGTGCCCTTGAGGTTTCTTAATGTATTCCTGAAGTTAAACAAGACCAGTCAAAAAATTTGTTTGGAAATTTTTAATTTCAAATGAATTTTAAAATTTTAATTTTACTTCATTAAATCTCAGATTTTAAAGTGTTTAGTTACTCATTTTCTCTATTAATAAATAAAGTTTTAACATTTATTATAACTTTAGCTATTAGTATATAAACATCAATTCACAGCCCGAGTAGATAATAACAACACCAAACAATCGCCTAATTTATCGGGCTATAATATGGCTATTATTATATGGCTTTTATTCCAGAATGTTCTAAATTTATTTATTTAATTATTATTAATTTAATTAAGAGATGGCGCCTAACGCCTACCTCTAATGTCAAATTACTTAGTTCCAATCAAATAGCCATATTATAGCCCGATAAATTAGGCGATCGTTTGGTGTTGTTATTTTAGCTATTAGTCTGAATTTCTGAGGAAATGTAATAAAGATGCTGTAATAGAATAAAATTTTTATTATACTAGTTATACTGTTACATTTTATTATAGTTATACTAAAGTAGTTTACATGTGTAATACATAATTAATTTGTAAAAATATATTAACTTATTATATACTATATCATTTTTACTTAAGTTTTATAAAAAATAAATTGACTTATTGAACATTTTTATATTATTTCTGAACTAATTAGATTGATAGTAATCAATAAAATATTATTCTTTTTATTCTTCAGTATTCTGGAAAAGACTTCTCCCAGAGATGCAATTCATGCATATATGTAAGATTAGAAAAAAATTCAAGATTTTAATCAGTTTTTCCAAATAATTAAGTTATATTTGACCATTAATTATATTAACTATTTTAATGTTATAAAATTTATTTAAAATAATGATTAGTGATATAAAAATGCCTTAATATTTAATTTTAAATCTTATACTGTAACAACTAATAGTAAAACGAAGCTATTTATGTTCTGAATTCAGTTTTCTTTTGTACATTACCCAAGTTTAGTCTTTCAATCAGAAAAATACAAAAATGTTAGTTATTTCTATTTTTGTTAAATATATCAAACATGTAATTCTTTTAAAGGTATTTGAATTTTTATATTTCATTAAGTCTTATAAAATATTAGTGGAATTTTATAACTAAATTAGTGTACATCTCCATAAATTAATGTAAATAAGAAAATAATAAAAAGTAACTTGAAAAGCTGTTTTTCAATTACACAGAAACAAAACAGTTATTTCAGATTTTAAATAAAATAAACCTATCTCTCTCTTTCTCAGCAATGTTAAATTATAATATATGAACACACCTGAATTCCACTTGCCGAGTTTTTTCTTTTTATTCTCAAACGTTTTCGGCCTATTTGGATAGGCCATCCTCAGGCTTTCACACTATTGCTCTGTCCGCCTGTGCCATGCTTGNAATATATGAACACACCTGAATTCCACTTGCCGAGTTTTTTCTTTTTATTCTCAAACGTTTTCGGCCTATTTGGATAGGCCATCCTCAGGCTTTCACACTATTGCTCTGTCCGCCTGTGCCATGCTTGCTACCGTACGCACAGGCGGACGGAGCAATAGTTAAGTGGGATGAAGCGAAGATCATAAGAACAGTGCACTCACCGTATAGTATAGTGATGGAAATGGAAAAAATAGAGATATACAAAAGTAGAATGTTTAAATGAAAAGGATGCAAATACATTACCAACAGCATGGAAATACAAAATAGAAAAATGCATGGGTTTACATAATCCATAAAATAGGAACTGGGGATCAAAAGAGGTTATTATATTATAATTCAGACGCATGTAAAAATATGTTATTAATTTTTGTAGCACGTATAGGGCATAATTTATTCATTTTATTGTATTTTATTTATTTATTTTATTTTGTTTATTTATATACAGTCGACCCCCCCTATAAGATAGAGATACGTTCCATTCTTTAGGAATCCGATTTCTTACGAGTCGTTCCAATCACAGCCCGACACGTGTAAAGTTTACGGACTACGGCTGATTGAAAGGTTTTCTTCCATAAAATTAATCAATTCTAGACTAATCCGACTCAACATTTCCAAAATACGTATATTTTTTTTGGAAATAGTCCGTATAAACTACGCTATAAATAAAAAATTGTAGGATTACTTACCGAGTGTCACCATTCGACATCGCCATTGCTCAACATTGTTTTCGTCGCGGAACAGCTCAGCAAACTGCGGCCGATTTCTAATAACTTATTTTTCTGCGAATAGTTCCTTGAACTTCGGAGACATCATTAATATAAATAATTTTAATCGCCGTTGAATAAGAAATGTTTCTTTCACAAGAAATGTATAAAATTACAGTACTGTATTAGACTTACGGTACCTAATTTACATACTG